TGTGTGTGTGTCTGTCTAATGGTAGCTATCTCTAGGGTAGAGTGGGATGGGAAGGAAGAAAAAAAGAAAAAAAAAGAAATTCACATGATAACTTTGTTGTATATTTGGAAGGAATAGCAAGTACATGGTAGATCTGGAGTTTCACGTGCAATTATCTTTTTTATTGTACTGTTACAGAAAGCTTGTTTTGTTCCATGAATTGAAAATAAAATAAAATTGTTTTTAAAAAAGAACTATTCAGAGAAAAAAGGTACCTGAAAGGTGGTCATACGGAAAAGGGAATAGACATTCTCAGTTGTTGCTTTAGAAAGGACAGAATACAAAGAGGAAGCTACAGGTAGATTTTCTTTCAACATAAGCAAAAACTTTACAGTATCAAAAAGTTAGAACTCAAAGATACCTTAAAGATAATCAGAGGTGTCTAACTCTCAGCCCACAACACAATTCCTAAGAGCTGCCTAAACCAGATTAAAATGTCATTGGAAAATGTTTAACAAAATAAATAAAAATACAAAACAACATTGTTGTTGAGTCACTCAAAGATGTTCTTCAGTACCGCATGGAACACTCTGTCCATGGGATTTTCTTGGCACAAATACTGGAGTAGTTTGCCATTTCCTTCTCTAGTGGATTAAGGCAAACAGAGGTTAAGTGACTTGCCTAGGGTTACACAATTAGTAAGTATCTGAGGCCACATTTGAACTCAGGTTTTCCTGACTCCAGGCCCAGTGCTCTATCCACTGAACCAACTGCCTGACTCCTACAAAACATTTTCAATCATTTTTCAATCCTAAAGTACATGTGGGACCATGTCACCCCTATAATACACACTAATAAACTCCAATAGCTCCCTGTTGCCTCCAGGATCAAATATAAAATGCTCTGTTTGGCATTCAAAGCCCTTCATAACCTAGCCCCCTCCTACCTTTTCAGTCTTCTTATTCCTTACTAACTACCATGCACTCTTTATGACCCTATTTGGGGTTTTCTTGGTAAAGATACTGGAGTGGTTCACCATTTCCTTCTCCAGTTCATTTTACAGATGAGGAAACTGAGGCAAACAGGGTTAAGTGACTTGCCCAGGGTCACACAGCTAATAAATGTCTGAGGCCAAATCTGAACTTAGGATTTGAATAAAACAACAGTGTTAATTTAGATAATAGATAAGTCAATCTGCGGCCCACTTTGATCTGTTTCTATGTTTCTGTTTGAGTTCGACAACACTAGTTTAAGCCCCCAAACCCATTTTACAGATGAGGAAACTGAGGCACCACAGAGGTGAAGCAATTTGCTCAAGGTCATACCAGTAACAAGTACCAGGTCCTCTGATTCCAAATTGAATGTCCTTTTCAGTATACCACACTGCTATTAGTGCCTAACAAATAAAGCTATCCAACAGTGGAATAGATTACTTCACTGAATAATGAGCTACTAATCACTGAAGGTATTTGAAGAGGGCTTGCATAACTCTGCTACAGGGCTACAGCTCTCAAACTCTTTGGTCTCAGGACCCCTTTACATTATTAAAAATTATCAAGGACACCAAAAAGCTTTCATTCATGTGCATAATGTCTATTCAATATTGACTGTATTAGAAATTAAAACTGAAGTATTTTGATGCTTATTTAATTCATTTAAAAATAACAATAATAACTCCATTATATGATAACATAAATAACATTTTATGAAAAATAACTATTTTCCAAAGCAAAAAAAAATTCAGTAAAAAGAGTGGCATTGTTTTACTTTTGCAAATCTCTTCAATGTCTGACTTAATAGAAGACAGCTAGACTCGGTCTATTGTGATAAATTGTTTTGGTTAAAGTATATGAAGAAAATCTGGACATCACACAGATCTGTAGTTGGGAAAAGGAGTATTTTAATAAGCAAATAAAGTCTTAGTATCATTATGAAAATCATATTGGCCTCTTGGATACCCTGAAAGAGTCTCAGAGACCCTCAGGGGTCCATGGACCACACTTTGAGAACTTTTGGAATAGGTAGGTATTTCTGTCTAGATGGTGTTTTAATTCCAAGGCCCAAAGGCTTGACTGAAATTTGTATGTCCTAATATCCACCACCAGGGGGCAAGCAAATTAAATAAATTGAAAATCAACTAACTATAACAGTTTAAAGATTAGGGTTTCCTAACTTTTTTGTAATAAGGAATTAGTTCTCATTTTCCTAAAGTCTAGAGAGCTGTATCTATTAAGGGAGAAAAAGACGAAGGGGGGAGCGGGAAGGGGAGCAGAATGTGGGAAAGAGTGCATTGTAAGCTCAGTATGAATCAATAGTGCAAGATGGCAGCCAAAAAAGAAAAAGCTACTAAAATTTAGTAAAAGAGGCAAAACATCCAAGAATAAAGGGGAAATAGATCTGCTATCCTTCACCCTAGCTGGACCACGTTTGCAACATTGTGTTCAAATCTGAGCACTACCTTTTAGGAATGCCGCCACTCTAGTACAAGCTCTCATCACCTCACGCCTAGATATTGCAATAGCCCTGCTGCTGGGTCTGCCTGCCTTTAGTCTCTCTCCACTCCAATCCATTTTTCATTCAGCTGCCAAAGTGGTCTTCCTAAAGTGCGTGTGGGACCATGTCACCCCTACAATAAACAATCAATAAACTCCAGTGACTCCCTGTTGCCTCCAGAATCAAATACAAAATGCTCTGTTTGGCATCCAAAGCCCTTCATAACCTAGACCCCTCCTACCTTTTCAGTCTTCTTATTCCTCACTAACTTCCATGCACTCTTCCATCCAGTTACATTGGTCTTCGGATTGTACCATGAACAAGACCCAGCTCCAGGCATTTTCTTAGGCTGAATCCACGCCTGGAATGCTCTCCCTCCTCATCTCTGCCTACTGGCTTTCCTGGCTTCCTTAAGTTCCAACTAAAATCCCACTTTCTATTGGAAACTTTTCCCAATCACTCTTAATTCTAGCGCCTTCCCTCTCTTGATTATTACCTATTTGTCCTGTATATAGTTTAAACATCTTTGTTTATTTGTTGTCTCCCCCTTATACTGTGAGCTCCTTGAGGGCAGAGACCATCTTTCACCTCTTTTGTAACCCCAGAACTTAGCACAATGCATGGCACACAGTAGGCACTCTAGAAATGTTTATTGATTGATAAGCTGGAGAGTGTCCAGAGGAGGGTAACCAGGATAATTCAGGGCCTCAAATATTAGGCCATACGAGAATTATTTGAAGGAACCGGGGATGTTTGACCATGAGAAGAGAAGACTTAGGGAAGGCATGATAGCTGCCTTCAAGTATTTAAATGGCCATTATCTGGAACTGAGATTTGATTTGTTCCACTTGGTCCCAGGAGTCATAACTAGAAGTAAGGGATAGAAGGTGCTAAGAAGCCAATCTAGCCTTGTAAAGCCAAGTAAAAATGTGTTTGCAATTAGAGTTATCCCAAAGTAGAGCAGGCTTTCTCAGAGAGACTTCATTAGATATCTTTAAGCAAGACTGGATGACCACTTGTTGAGTATGAGATAGAAAGAATTCTTTGGCTAATGTGGAAATGTGTTTTGCATGATTTCACATGTATAAATAGGTATCATATTGCTTACCTTCTCAATGGGTAGGGGAGAACTGGAGGGAGAGAGAATTTGAAACTCATAACTTAAAAATGAATGTTAAAAAATGAAATGAAAACAACAGAGTTATTGCTCTGACACGAGGTTAGACTAGTATTGGATCTGAAGGCAGAGGGCATGGATTCAATTCCTGTGTGACGTTAGGCAAGTCATATAAACTCCCTGGGTCTCAAGTTTCCTTATCTTGAAAATAAGGGGCCTGAATTAGATAATCTCTAAATTTCCTTCCAGCTCTATATGATTCTATAATCAGATGGCCACTAAGGGCCCTTACAACCCTGCCAATACAACATGATTCCATATGTACAAATGGATTGAAGGAAAAGGCTCATGGTATGTGTGTGCTTAAGGGGAGGAGGAGGAAAGTTACTTAGCGTCCCTGAGTGGATTGAGTGAGGGGAAAATGATAACAAAAATTTTTATTTATGAGGTGCTTTAAGGTTTTCAAAGCATTTTGTGTTTTCTCACTGAGACTCATTATCCCAAACAAGCCTCCCTACAACCTTGTAGGATAAGTGCTCCAGATATTAACAACCCTGTGGGGTAAGTGCTCCACTTATTATTACAACTATTTACTACTCTGTGAATTATTTAACCTACTGGATTATTCAAAAATACTGCATACCCTGACAGTAGGAGTCAATACTTGGAAACTGATCTACAGTTTTCTCCTCCCCTAGAGAAGAGTTGGTCAAGAAAACAAAAGCCTAGCTTAGATGGTATAGTAGAGTCAGGAGGACCTGAGTTCAAATCTGACCTCAGACACTTGACACTTACTAGCTGTGTGACCCTGGGCAAGTCACTTAACCCCAATCACCTCACCAAAAAACAAAAAATAAAGCCTAATAAAAGGGGCTGAAAAACAAGGGGGTTAAAGAGAGTAAAGTCAGAAAAAAGATAGCTTAACTGAGAGGAAAGATGAAGCTAGACTCCCAAGACAAAAAGAATTTCACCTGTGGATTGGACTGAAGCTAGATCCCCAGAATTGGATAGGAAAGTAATGTTTATGGGAAAGATTAGGTGTGAGTATGTCTCTGTAGAGAATGTGTTCTTAACCTACAGTCTATGAACTTTTTAAAAAATAATTTGATAACTTGATTTTGATATAATTTGTCTGCTTTTATCCTGTGTATTTTCTTTTCTTCCTTTAAGGTAATTTTATTATATGCTTCTTAAAAAGTAAGGTGTACATAATTGGGTTTGTGGTTTCATGTACAATCCTTTTTTCTGTTTGACCATTGTTGGTACTTCTCAAGTTCATATTAACAAAAAACAAAAATTACTTTTAAAAAAGCAAACAGAACTTTGTCTCATGACCAAAGTCTTCCCCCTTGTTTCCCAAATACCAGTGGCAGCCAAGTCCTAAGGATCTGGGGAACCAGGGAATGGACACTCAGCTTTTGCCCCTATGTTCAACAGGTGTCCAAGGACTGTCTTCGAAGAGCTCATATTTCCATTTTAACTCTTTCAATTTTTCAACCAAGGTCACCATGTAGTTGCCTTCACCCAAGTAGGCTTTCCCCCATGTGGCAGCTCTGCTATATCCTCCACATTCACAGAGGCATCTGTGACTTCTTTGATAGCTTTCAGCTCCTGGTTGCAGAGGGTCAGAGTCTCATGTACAGACTGAAAGAATGGACCACATGAGTTGATGTTGGGGTCAGGGTGGTCAAAGTGCTCATGAAGTTCATCCTCAAAAATGTGTATAAAAGCAATCACCAGTTGATGGAAATCTAAGAGAGTCAAGCCCAAGGTGCCACTACATTGGCTGCAGATTTTCCCATGGTGGGGAGAACACTGAACCGGGCACCCTGTGGGATTCAGCAAAAACAGTCTGTTGACACTGTCCTGAGAACTGAGGACCTCTTCTTTATGTGCCTGCAGCCCTTCAATGAGCTTAATCAGTTTTTCAGAAAGCTCTTCCACCTTCGCCTTCTTTGCCTCCAGCAGCATTCTACGCAGGTTTTCCTTTATCCCATGAGAGGGTTCTATGTCCAGAGGAAAGGGACTCAACTTGGGATCTAGGATCTCCTTGTGGACGTGGGAAATGTAGACATTCTTCAGCACCATCTCATTGTCCTTCACTAATTTGCAAAAGTTCTTCTCCACACTGCAGAAACTAGTGGCACATTCAGGACCCAGACTTGTGAACAGATCCAATAACCAGTTAAAGAAATAAAGCTGTTCCTTTACACCAGTAGAGCCCTTAATGGGATCCTGATCATCTGGCCCACACATCAGTTCATGGCCAATTCTGGTCATCTCTGTTATTTTCTCTTTAGCTCCAGAGCCCAGCACAGTTGCAAATGAATCCCCAATGGAAGGATACAGTCTTGCAAATAACCATTCCAGAATAAGCAAATGGTAAATTGAGGGTACACAGGAACTGTTTTATTATCCTCGGTCCAGTAATAGACAGACCCTCAAGGAAGGGGCAGTCTGTCTTTTAATCTGTCCAGAACCCTCAGAGCCTCCAGGGAGAGCTGGACGTCCTCCTCATCCTCGTCCTCGTCCTCCCACTCCTCCTCACGCCCTCTCTTCCTGGCCTGTGCCACTTTCTGATAGCTGTCACTGTCCCCCAAGCCCTGTCCAAAGCTCAGCCATTATTCCTCCCGCTCAAGGGAATCAGAACTGACCAGGCCCAATCCTGTGTATTCTCTTTTATGCATTTAAAAACACATTATTCTAGGGGGCAGCTAGGTGGCGCAGTGGATGGAGCACTGGCCCTGAATTCAGGAGGACCTGAGTTCAAATCCAGCCTCATACATATAACACTTACTAGCTGTGTGACCCTGGGCAAGTCACTTAACCCCATTACCTAGCCAAAAAAAAAAAAAACATTATTCTGAAAAGAGGTCCATAGCCTTCACCAAATTGCCAAAGGGATCTTTGACACAAGAAAAGGTTTAAAAATTACTGCTATTCATGATTTACACGGAAATGTGTTTTGCATAACTACGTGTAGTAACATAGGTTACTGTGCCAAATTTCTTGCCTTCTCATTAAAGGAGGAAGGAAGGGAAGAAAAGAATTTAGAACTCAAAATTTGAAGAAGAAAAAAGAATGTTAAAATTGTTTTTCCATGTAATTGGGGGAAAATAAAATATTAAGTTTTTAAAAATGTTTTTGCTGTAGAGTACTGTAAGCCCAATTTGAATTTACAGGCATTGAACTATGCTCCCTTGGAGAAACCACAGGAAGTTTGTACTATTCCTGTGACCTATTCACTGTAAAATTGGCAAGCTTCAACTAAATAAGATGGATATGTTGCTGGAAAGTCTTAGGAGAGAAGTATACAGACTGGCCAGTGTTGGGAGGCCAGGAAGCCTGTCATTATATGATAAAATGTCTGCAAAGCTTAGAGAGTTAATGCAATGCTTGTGAGACTCCAAAAGAAGTACTTGCTACATTTAGCCATTCTGTATTTGGCAGAATGTAACAGGTGAGATAATAATTAAAGTGGACACTAAAATACAGAGACTGATACACATAGGAGCAGTGGCACCTAAGGCTAAAGATATAGTCAGACTGCAGCAAGTGAGAAGCATGGCATACAGCCCAGACATGTGTGCAGCCCTTGCTTTTCTTGAGAAACAATGATTGCCACCAAAATTCCAATTGATGAGCATAGTATACAAGATACCCAACAAGTATTCAGCTGTAAAGAGCACCTGCCACCAGGAAGACTCAACCTCAACTAACTGGAGCATCCTGTCTTATATGGGCCGTGGAAACAAGGCAAGTAACACACACCTCAAATGCAGACTTGAGGCCTAAAGACCACAGAGAATATGGCAAAACGTGGAACTGTCAACAAAATGCTGCTACCTGAAGAGGTAATAGCACTAGCAAATGAGGGCTATGAAGGCAGCATATGCAAATAACAGCACAGGTCTGACTATATCTTATTCCATGGGTGCCACTGCTCCTATGCATATCGGTCTCCATACCCTAGCGTCCACTTTAATTATTATCTCAGTTGGCTTTTCTCCATTGTACTAAATAGTAGAATGGTTACATGCAGCAAACCCTTCTTTTGGAGTATCATCATTATTGAATTGACTCTCTATGCTTTGCAGACATTTTTATTATATAATCACAGGCTATCTGACCTTCCAACTCTGCTCTGATCTGTATGGCCAGAATTGCAGATCTACTCTCCGTTACAATTACCAAGAAAATGGTCATGTTCAGGTTGGATAAACTCACTCCCAAAATCTACATATTTTGACCATTCATGCAACCTCTACAGGGACCTATAGGAGCATAAAAACAAATAGTAACAATGAATATCACAAGAATACTGGCTCTTCAACATCAAAAATGTGGATCCCAAATGATGATTCTCTAGTTACAGAAGAATAGAAGGATTTATTAGGGTCAAAGCTAAGCAAAAAGACTAGTATGTTCTCATTGTATGAGTGGGATGTGGAATATGCCTGAGCAGAAATCCATAGTATCTACTTCACTGATTTCCAACCTTTCCAGGAACAACTTAGGAAGATTCCTTTATCTGTAACAGATGACCTCAGAAACCACCTCAAAGACATGATAATCAATGGTGTCATCACAGAGTCCAGTAGCCTATATGCATCACTTATAGTGGTAGTATTGGATGAAAAGATACAAATATGAACATCTTTAAACTTTGAACAAAAGAACCAACATGATGTCAAGAGTTTGATGTTCTATATTGTCTATAAGACAACGTTTATGCAGTAGCTATTATCAGAAATCTATGGCAAAGGAAGACAAGAAGACAATTTTCATCTATATTTTTATCAGTTTGAACGTAAGCCCCAAACATCTCAGGGGCACATGCCACTTTCCAAATCTAATGAAGAAAATAACTGGAGACACAAATTACCTGGAAGTGTTGACATATACAAGTTATCTCATTTTATTTAGAAGAATCCTGGAAGAAGAACACGAAGAGAGACTGGTAGAAATGTTGCATTGACTAGAGGAAAATGGTCTTGGACTTTCAATAAGGTGTAATTACTAGCTCTAAGAAAGTAAAAATACTTCTGACATGGTCAAATCCTTCAAGATATGGGGATTTTCCTACAATCTGAAAGTTATCACAAATCTGTTAAGAATTATGCTTCTCTCTTTTTGTGGCAGCAAAGAATTGGAAATTAAGGGGGTACCAATCAACTGGGAAGTGGCTAAACAAGTTGTGGTATATGATTGAATACTGTTGTACTATAAAAAATGATGAGGTGGATGGTTTCAGAAAAACATGGGAAGACCTATATGAACTTAGGCAGTGAAGTAAGCAGAACCAGGAGCTCATTCTACACAGTAATAGCAGTATTGACAATCCGTGAAAGACTTGGCTACTCTTATCACTTCAATGATGCAAGACACTTCCAAGGATTCATGATGAAAAAATGCTATCCACCTCCAAAGGCAGAATTGATGAGCTCTAAGTGCAAATTGAAGTATAATTTTATTCACTTTCTTTATTTTTTTCTTGCTTTTTTTGCAACATGGCTAATATGGAAATATATTTTGAATTATTTTACATGTATAATTGACATCATATTGTTTGCCTTCTCAATGGGTGTGGTAGGAAGAGAAAGAATGTGGAACTCAAAATTCTCTTTTTTTTTAAATGAAGTTAAAAATAAATAATAATGTTTTTAGTTATTATGCTTCTATTGATTAATCACCTAAACCAGTGAGTTAGGTGACCTCATTTATGCTTGTGTGATGGAAGAGAACCAAAAGCATGAGGGCAAGAAAAGTCAGTTTGCCTTAAACCCTATAAAGTCCTTTGGAGATTGATGGATGGAGAGATGTGAAAGAGCTTCTAAAGATCTAGTCAACTGCCTCACACACCTACCAGTATTGACTTATGCAGATCTAAAAAAGATGTCAGACTGGGCAACTTGGGGGAAGTCCTGTACCAAGAAGAATTATAGTCACCAGAAACCAGTTGCATTTCACCACCAGAGTACTGAGTGGCACTGAGACTCATTTCCTACACTAGCTGGAGTTCTTAGCTTTTTCAGGAAGCTTTTTCTCAGGCTTTTACTGAGACTATTCAAAGGCTATGCATATGGAAGAAAATGCCAAGTGTTAACTTAGAACAATTCACTGACCTATTTTGACCAGTGCCAAATTAAATGATGCTTGCCAGAGATGGGTAGTGGCACTAGCCAACCATGAATTCAACATACATTGCCAGACCAGAAAGATTAATGTAAATGCCCTGTACCCATGGCACTGAAGCTATGGTTATACCTAAGGAAAGAGCGAAGGTCATATGTGACATTGTGGGGTTTTAAATTGTCCAGCCTATAATAAAAGAAACTGAGGCAGAGCTCTGAGCCAATGGCACTTTATTAAAGGGTCCATGGACCCCTCTAATGATGGGGGCCTCAGATCTTCCTCATGATATGAGATCCCCCTGGTCCCCAAGACCTTAGTTTTTATAGGGTCTGATACCCAAATATGCAAAAAAAACACATGGTAAAATATAGAATCTCATTGGTCAATAGGCCAGGCTCTTGAGGGCCAAAAACAATGTATTGGCCAAAAAACGGTATATCAGCAAGAGGGTCTCACATTAAGTGAAGCACAGAGCATCTCCACTGACTAAATGGTCATAAGATGGCCACCTGCTCATGTTGGACAAGAGAGAGTGGTCTGGAGGCACAAAAATAAGTTGGGGGCCTCTCCAAAGAATCAAGGCATCCCACCTATGCTGGGTTTGGACAGGGAATTTAAGCAAAACGGGATGGAGATATCTTTATCAGCATTCTTATGATTGTGCAATTGAGCCCCAGAACTTTGTAAACAAGTAGTGAAGATTACATTAAAGTTTGAGGCCTATAATAAGAACCTATCTCATCTAATTATCCCTATATGATTTATGTAAAATATCAAACTGATTAATACTCATTGGAATATAGTGGGAGTCCTAATAAATCATTTCTCACAATATCCAGGTATCTGGGATACACATAAACGAGAGCACAGCTAAGAGCTTGGGACATCCATCAGACTATTATGCTGTCAGTGGTTGTGAACTTTGTGTCATTGAAACAACCTTCTCTGCCTCTGTTGTCTGAAAGAGGAAGGGAAGAAGCATTTATTAAACACCCAGGTACCTTAGCCAGGCACTTGATCCTCATAACAATCTTGGGATGTAGGTGCTATTATGATCCCCATTTTAGATTTGAGGAAACTGAGGCATGTAGAAGTTAAATGACTTGCCCAGGGTCATACAGCTAGTAAGTATTTGAGTCTGGATTTGAAATAAGGTCTTCCTGGCTCCAGGCTAAGTGCTTAGAATCCACTGTACCACCTAGAAGATGCCTGAAGATGAAGATAGATGGCTGGTAACAATAGCAGGTGGGTAATGATGGGCTATGAGAAGTGATACAAATAAAAAAGCATAGAAATTATGCTAGAAAGTTCTAGTTCTGGTCCTCAGAAGGTGCATTACTGTTTAAACAATGGCAGAAGTTAGAGGTGTTCTAATGAATAGCCTACCAAACCGTCACTGATCCCATACATGATGTCAGGAAGCAGTAAGTCCTGGTTGTTGTTGTTGTTGTTGTTGTTGTTGTTGTTG